CGGCATCCTGCATTCCCGCGGTAGGTAGTCTTGGTGCTCGTGGCGTCATATCTACATGTGCAAAGAATGCCAATTCATAAAAGACGCCAATCCCACTGCAAAACTTACACTACCCACCCGAGGGAGTCCCCACCATAGCGGGAAGAGATGCCCCGTACAGCCAAAGGACCAAGCGGCGAACCAGCAAGGCCTGAGACTCCACTCAGGTACCCAATCCCTGCTAAAACAATCACCACCCCGAAACCAGCAGACAAAAGAAAAATGCCTCCACCATTCAAATGCAAATGACCCAGGTGTGGAGGACCACGTGTAACGCCTGCTAACGGAAAATTCCAACACGAAAGCTCACGCACCCAACAAACCCGCAAAAATCTACCCCCAAAACCTCTACTAAGCTTGAGGTGCGAAAAAGAAAACAAAAACAACACACTGACAGCCAAAACTAAACTCTCCCTCTAAGAAAACCGAACTCACTCTAGAAGGCACGCCTGCCCTACCTGCTAACCGTGGCGCCACAAAAACACGCCGAAAATTCTGGACTCTCACTACCGTCTACACTAGCCAAACCTTGACCAAACTGGTCAGCGAGAATCCTTGCAGTTCTCCCCCAGGCACTCCGGTCTCCGCTCCGTGCTTCCTTCCTTGTCGAAACGCTGTCGTGCTGGTCGGACGGTAGACCTCCACGACGCTGCAACTCCGACCGGTCCGGGGGGATGTTTTCAGTAAATGCACAGAGTGAATGGGCTATCAGCCCCTTATATGGGGTGTGATGACGTCATTGGCGGATTGATCCAATAATTAAGCAGTGAGAAAAATGGATGACATCCTCCACAGACTCCAAACCTAATGCGATAGGGCGAAAAAACCAAGACGGGGCAAAAAAAAACAAGATTTATACATTTTCAAATTTTGACATAAACCTTGTTAAACAAGATTTTTTCATTCATCGGCAACATCACATACAAACGAATTAAAAAATTCAACACTACAAAACAAAACATTAAATCAGAGCCTTGTCTTGTCTCCTCTCTTCACATTTTGGCGTTCGATGAAAGTTAGATCAGGCTCTTCATATAAATAATAATAATAATAATGCGTCTATAATTTTACGACTCTATACATCCGAACTTCTGCGCACTTGTAGGTGTATCCCAGCGACAGAAGACCGAGACGTTTTCTTCTACAAGGAGTTAGTATCCCGGCACTGCTACCTGGAGACTGTAGCGGAGGTGGTGGACCACGCGCCGGACGCCTGCTGCGCCGAGAGACAGGTGAAATATATACAAGATCACAAAACCCACTAATTATGCAGAATGTGGGACTATTCATTATCCACTGCCTACAAAGAAGAAGTCGAACCCCATAATAGCTAGCGTAGTAGTAGTAGTAGTAGAAGTTTTTTTCCAGACAGTTGTTACCTGTCTCCTGTATTGCAATGAGTATTATACTTGATTGTAAAAGCAATTAGTACCGTGGCCGACAAGAACAAAATTTTACACCGCAACTTTTGGTGTTTTACACCGCAACTTTTGGTGTTTTACACCGCAACTTTTGGTGTTTTACACTGCAACTTTTGGTGTTTTACACTGCAACTTTTGGTGTTTTACACTGCAACTTTTGCTGTGTTTTATACTGCAACTTTTGCTGTGTGGAAAACTTACACCCCTCCCCTTTTATAATGGACGGTCCCCCTGTCAGGTCAAAGGTGACAACGATGGCATGCAAACTACGTCGACTGAGTTATCCTTTTCGTGCATAAGTTTTTTAGAGGAAAAGCTTGGCTTCGTTGTGACGTTAGTTTTTTTCTAAAGGTTTTTCTAGCTTTGGCCTATAGATCGGGATAAGTTTAAAAATGTTTCGACCAGGTCCAGTGATTACAAATTATGTTGCTATCTAGTGAATGTTGGTAACGTTTGCACCGCTACGTGTTGATGTCGACGCATGGTATGATAGAAATGATGTCTGTCTGAAGGCGTAAATATGTAATTAGCTTAAACTATCGTGGCATGATGTCATAAACGCTTGCATGCGGCGATATTCGTCTTCCACGTTTCCCCGCCTTTGAGTCACGTGACATTTTCTAGCTAGAGAATTCGGACTCGCAAGGTCGCTAATAATTTGATGAGTAAATTTTTGGGCCTATGGGAGTCAAATGTGGCACCACTTGGTACTATGAAGCAATAAAGACTTATTTTCAATTATGAAGTGTTGACTCTTGACTCAGGTAAGTTATCGATCATTAGGGAACAATACGAGCGATCGCCATGACGTCACCGTAGGAAAAAAGTGGGTGCCAGTTGGCTGATTTGCCTACCAAGAATTTGCATATGTCTTCAAATAATTTGCATGCGTATAATGTAAACAAAAACAGCGATCGCTCGTATACAAATGTAGACACTGTGACGTTGTTAACCGCCGAAATGAGTCCTTAGCATGGTTCACAGAATTTATCATAGCGCAGTCAGAATCGGGAAAGCCAGGCTAAAATATATGTCGTTGTAATCCTTACAAGTCAGGGAACCTCGCGAAGTTCACTTGAAGATCACACTTGTACACAAAAATGAGCTTTGTAGCGTCAAAGTTGACCTTTATTCGCTAGCTAAGAACTCATTTTGGCGTAGGTTTTCGAACTGTATGGGGGTTTCCGTGATACCGCTAATCCCATCTACTTTCGGGTCACGGCTTACGAGGTTCGGTTACTAGTATATTACACGCCGAAGAGCTAAGGAAACGTTGCGGAGTGAAATTTCATGAAAAAAAGCTCTTTAAAAGCCGCGCCTATAAGGTTTCGCAACTTCTTTCCAAAAATCCAATTACGCTTTGGCGAGTATATTAGGGTCTGCCCTCCGTGTCTATCATATAAATGATACACGTAAACGTCACCCTCGGAGTGCTTTTTGTATCATTTCAATGATACGTGTAACTACCTAGGTTTTCCAAAGTCGGACTGACTTCCAATAAAGTAACCCCACTATCATATCTACGCATGTGTGAGACGGGTACACTGTACCAGCAATCATTTAAATAGCTAATAGAAGAGTTACCACTTGGCTCTTAAAAAGCCGCGCCAATAAGGTTTCGCAACTTCTTCCCAAAAATCCAATTACGCTTTGGCGAGTATATTAGGGTCTGCCCTCCGTGTCTATCATATAAATGATACACGTAAACGTCGGGTCGTCCTCGGAGTGCTTTTTGTATCATTTCAATGATACGTGTAACTACCTAGGTTTTCCAAAGTCGGACTGACTTCCAATATAGTAACCCCACTATCATATCTACGCATGTGTGAGACGGGTACACTGTACCAGCAATCATTTAAATAGCTAATAGAAGAGTTACCACTTGGCTCTTAAAAAGCCGCGCCAATAAGGTTTCGCAACTTCTTCCCAAAAATCCAATTACGCTTTGGCGAGTATATTAGGGTCTGCCCTCCGTGTCTATCATATAAATGATACACGTAAACGTCGGGTCGTCTTCGAAGTACCTTATGTATCATTTCAATGATACGTGTAACTACCTAGGTTTTCCAAAGTCGGACTGACTTCCAATATAGTAACCCCACTATCATATCTACGCATGTGTGAGACGGGTACACTGTACCAGCAATCATTTAAATAGCTAATAGAAGAGTTACCACTTGGCTCTTAAAAAGCCGCGCCAATAAGGTTTCGCAACTTCTTCCCAAAAATCCAATTACGCTTTGGCGAGAATATTAGGGTCTGCCCTCCGTGTCTATCATATAAATGATACACGTAAACGTCGGGTCGTCTTCGAAGTACCTTATGTATCATTTCAATGATACGTGTAACTACCTAGGTTTTCCAAAGTCGGACTGACTTCCAATATAGTAACCCCACTATCATATCTACGCATGTGTGAGACGGGTACACTGTACCAGCAATCATTTAAATAGCTAATAGAAGAGTTACCACTTGGCTCTTAAAAAGCCGCGCCAATAAGGTTTCGCAACTTCTTCCCAAAAATCCAATTACGCTTTGGCGAGAATATTAGGGTCTGCCCTCCGTGTCTATCATATAAATGATACACGCAAAAGTCGGGTCGTCTTCGAAGTACCTTATGTATCATTTCAATGATACGTGTAACTACCTAGGTTTTCCAAAGTCGGACTGACTTCCAATATAGTAACCCCACTATCATATCTACGCATGTGTGAGACGGGTACACTGTACCAGCAATCATTTAAATAGCTAATAGAAGAGTTACCACTTGGCTCTTAAAAAGCCGCGCCAATAAGGTTTCGCAACTTCTTCCCAAAAATCCAATTACGCTTTGGCGAGAATATTAGGGTCTGCCCTCCGTGTCTATCATATAAATGATACACGCAAAAGTCGGGTCGTCTTCGAAGTACCTTATGCATCATTTCAATGATACGTGTAACTACCTAGGTTTTCCAAAGTCGGACTGACTTCCAATATAGTAACCCCACTATCATATCTACGCATGTGTGAGACGGGTACACTGTACCAGCAATCATTTAAATAGCTAATAGAAGAGTTACCACTTGGCTCTTAAAAAGCCGCGCCAATAAGGTTTCGCAACTTCTTCCCAAAAATCCAATTACGCTTTGGCGAGAATATTAGGGTCTGCCCTCCGTGTCTATCATATAAATGATACACGCAAAAGTCGGGTCGTCTTCGAAGTACCTTATGCATCATTTCAATGATACGTGTAACTACCTAGGTTTTCCAAAGTCGGACTGACTTCCAATATAGTAACCCCACTATCATATCTACGCATGTGTGAGACGGGTACACTGTACCAGCAATCATTTAAATAGCTAATAGAAGAGTTACCACTTGGCTCTTAAAAAGCCGCGCCAATAAGGTTTCGCAACTTCTTCCCAAAAATCCAATTACGCTTTGGCGAGAATATTAGGGTCTGCCCTCCGTGTCTATCATATAAATGATACACGCAAAAGTCGGGTCGTCTTCGAAGTACCTTATGTATCATTTCAATGATACGTGTAACTACCTAGGTTTTCCAAAGTCGGACTGACTTCCAATATAGTAACCCCACTATCATATCTACGCATGTGTGAGACGGGTACACTGTACCAGCAATCATTTAAATAGCTAATAGAAGAGTTACCACTTGGCTCTTAAAAAGCCGCGCCAATAAGGTTTCGCAACTTCTTCCCAAAAATCCAATTACGCTTTGGCGAGAATATTAGGGTCTGCCCTCCGTGTCTATCATATAAATGATACACGCAAAAGTCGGGTCGTCTTCGAAGTACCTTATGTATCATTTCAATGATACGTGTAACTACCTAGGTTTTCCAAAGTCGGACTGACTTCCAATATAGTAACCCCACTATCATATCTACGCATGTGTGAGACGGGTACACTGTACCAGCAATCATTTAAATAGCTAATAGAAGAGTTACCACTTGGCTCTTAAAAAGCCGCGCCAATAAGGTTTCGCAACTTCTTCCCAAAAATCCAATTACGCTTTGGCGAGAATATTAGGGTCTGCCCTCCGTGTCTATCATATAAATGATACACGTAAACGTCGGGTCGTCTTCGAAGTACCTTATGTATCATTTCAATGATACGTGTAACTACCTAGGTTTTCCAAAGTCGGACTGACTTCCAATGTAGTAACCCCACTATCATATCTACGCATGTGTGAGACGGGTACACTGTACCAGCAATCATTTAAATAGCTAATAGAAGAGTTACCACTTGGCTCTTAAAAAGCCGCGCCAATAAGGTTTCGCAACTTCTTCCCAAAAATCCAATTACGCTTTGGCGAGTATATTAGGGTCTGCCCTCCGTGTCTATCATATAAATGATACACGTAAACGTCGGGTCGTCCTCGGAGTGCTTTTTGTATCATTTCAATGATACGTGTAACTACCTAGGTTTTCCAAAGTCGGACTGACTTCCAATATAGTAACCCCACTATCATATCTCCTGGTTTCTCCTGTGTTCTCCTGCTTTCTCCTGTGTTCTCCTGGTTTCTCCTGTATTCTCCTGCTTTCTCCTATATTCTCCTGGTTTCTCCTGTGTTCTCCTGTGCTCTCCTGCTTTCTCCCTGTTTCTCCTGTGTACTCCTGGTTTCTCCTGTATTTCTCCTGCATTCTCCTGTGTTCTCCTACTTTCTCCTGTGTTCTCCTGCTTTCTCCTGTGTTCTGCCGCTTTCTCCTGGTTTCTCTTGTGTTCTCCTGCTTTCTCCTGTGTTCTCCTGTATTCTCCTGTATTCTGCTGGTTTCTCCTGTGTTCTCCTGCTTTCTCCTGTATTCTCCTGCTTTCTCCTGTGTTCTCCTGGTTTCTCCTGGTTTCTCCTGTGTTCTCCTGCTTTCTCCTGTGTTCTCCTGGTTTCTCCTGTATCTCCTGTATTCTCCTGCTTTCTCCTGGTTTCTCCTGCTTTCTCCTGTATTCTGCTGCATTCTCCTGTGTTCTCCTGGTTTCTCCTGGTTCCTCCTGCATTCTCCTGCTTTCTCCTGTGTTCTCCTGCTTTCTCCTGTGTTCTCCTGCTTTCTCCTGTGTTCTCCTGGTTCCTCCTGTGTTCTCCTGGTTTCTCCTGTGTTCTTCTGCTTTCTCCTGCATTCTGCTGATTTCTCTTGTGTTCTCCTGCTTTCTCTTGTATTCTACAGCTTTCTCCTGGTTTCTCCTGTGTTCTCCTGGTTTCTCCTGTGTTCCTCTGCTTTCTCCTGTGTTCTCCTGCTTTCTCCTGTGTTCTCCAGTATTCTCCTGCTTTCTCCTGTGTTCTCCTGCTTTCTCCTGTGTTCTCCTGTATTCTCCTGCTTTCTCCTGTGTTCTCCTGGTTTCTCCTGGTTTCTCCTGTGTTCTCCTGCTTTCTCCTGTGTTCTCCTGGTTTCTCCTGTGTTCTCCTGCGTTCTCCTGGTTTCTCCTGTATTCTCTGCTTTCTCCTGTATTCTGCTGCATTCTCCTGTGTTCTCCTGGTTTCTCCTGTGTTCTCCTGGTTTCTCCTGGTTTCTCCTGTGTTCTCCTGCTTTCTCCTGTGTTCTCCTGGTTTCTCCTGTATTCTCCTGCGTTCTCCTGGTTTCTCCTGGTTTCTCCTGCTTTCTCCTGTATTCTGCTGCATTCTCCTGTGTTCTCCTGGTTTCTCCTGGTTTCTCCTGTATTCTACTGCTTTCTCCTGTGTTCTGCTGCTTTCTCCTGCTTTCTCCTGTATTCTCCTGCTTTCTCCTATATTCTCCTGGTTTCTCCTGTGTTCTCCTGTGTTCTCCTGCTTTCTCCTGTATTCTCCTGCTTTCTCCTGTGTTCTCCTGGTTTCTCCTGGTTTCTCCTGTGTTCTCCTGCTTTCTCCTGTGTTCTCCTGGTTTCTCCTGTGTTCTCCTGCGTTCTCCTGGTTTCTCCTGCTTTCTCCTGTATTCTGCTGCATTCTCCTGTGTTCTCCTGCTTTCTCCTGTGTTCTCCTGTGTTCTCCTGGTTTCTCCTGGTTCTCCTGTGTTCTCCTGGTTTCTCCTGTGTTCTCATGCTTTCTCCTGTGTTCTCCTGGTTTCTCCTGTATTCTCCTGCTTTCTCCTGGTTTCTCCTGCTTTCTCCTGCATTATCCTGCATTACCCTGTGTTTTCCTGCTTTCTCCTGTGTTCTCCTGCTTTCTCCTGGGTTTTCCTGGTTTCTCCTGCATTCTCCTGTGTTCTCCTACTTTCTCCTGTGTTCTCCTGCTTTCTCCTGTGTTCTGCCGCTTTCTCCTGTGTTCTCCTGGTTTCTCCTGTATTCTCCTGCATTCTCCTGTGTTCTCCTGCTTTCTCCTGTGTTCTGCTGGTTTCTCCTGCTTTCTCCTGTGTTCTCCTGCTTTCTCCTGTATTCTCCTGCTTTCTCCTGTGTTCTCCTGGTTTCTCCTGGTTTCTCCTGTGTTCTCCTGCTTTCTCCTGTGTTCTCCTGGTTTCTCCTGTATTGTCCTGCATTCTCCTGTGTTCTCCTGCTTTCTCCTGTGTTCTCCTGCTTTCTCCTGGTTTCTCCTGTGTTCTCCTGGTTTCTCCTGTGTTCTCCTGGTTTCTCCTGTATTCTCCTGCGTTCTCCTGGTTTCTCCTGCTTTCTCCTGTATTCTGCTGCATTCTCCTGTGTTCTCCTGTATTCTCCTGCTTTCTCCTGTGTTCTCCTGGTTTCTCCTGGTTTCTCCTGTGTTCTCCTGCTTTCTCCTGTATTCTCCTGCTTTCTCCTATATTCTCCTGGTTTCTCCTGTGTTCTCCTGTGTTCTCCTGTGTTCTCCTGCTTTCTCCTATGTTCTCCTGCATTCTCCTGCTTTCTCCTGTGTTCTCCTGGTTTCTCCTGGTTTCTCCTGCTTTCTCCTGTATTCTGCTGCATTCTCCTGTGTTCTCCTGGTTTCTCCTGGTTTGTCCTGTATTCTCCTGCATTCTCCTGTGTTCTCCTGCTTTCTCCTGTGTTCTGCCGCTTTCTCCTGCTTTCTCCTGCTTTCTCCTGTGTTCTGCCGCTTTCTCCTGCGTTCTCCTGCTTTCTCCTGGGTTCTCCTGCTTTCTCCGGTGTTCTCCTGGTTTCTCCTGTATTCTTCCGCTTTCTCCTATATTTTCTAGCTTTTTCTTGCTTTCTCCTTCTTTCTTTTCTATTCTCCCGATTTCTACTGCTTTTTCCTAGTTTCTCCTAGTTTCTTCCGCATTATTATATATCTGCATGATATTTGCAGACATTGCTGTTTAAGGAGTCTAATTTACATACTCGGGACAAGATAAATGGTCCCTTTACCACTCTTAGGCCGCCGCCATCTTTGTCACCTTTGACCTGACAGGGGGACCGTCCATTATAAAAGGGGAGGGGTGTAAGTTTTCCACACAGCAAAAGTTGCAGTATAAAACACAGCAAAAGTTGCAGTGTAAAACACCAAAAGTTGCAGTGTAAAACACCAAAAGTTGCAGTGTAAAACACAGCAAAAGTTGCAGTGTAAAACATAGGAAAAGTTGCAGTGTAAAACACAGAAAAAGTTGCAGTGTAAAACACCCAAAGTTGCAGTGTAAAACACCAAAAGTTGCGGTGTAAAACACCAAAAGTTACGGTGTAAAATTTTGTACTTGTCGGCCACGGTAAATTAGCCTTCGGGCATGATTTTGCGAATAAAGTTTCTATATACTTTTGACCAAGGAGGTCAATACTGTCTTGTATAACCTCCTTGACAAAATATTTATACAGAAACACGAATGTTCAGCTACACTGGAGAGCTTTCGAGACGTACTCTGTCTCTTCTTCAACCCGATTAAGATCTCGTCTTGGAACTTTTGTTGTGTGTTTCTGTACAAATATTTTGTCAAAAGACATTCCTACTTTTTGTAGACTTTAAATAATCAAGGAGCTTCAGCAACTTGATATAACGTACTTGAAATAATTGAATATCTTTGCGCAGACCAATGTCAGTTCATTGTTTACCTTCACAGAACGAAAACATTGTTTGTGGTATGTTTCTTCCTCTTCTTTCAGTGAAACAAAATTATGCAATTATTCTATTCCATTCATCATGGCGCGACATTATCCAAACTTAATGTAGCAGCTGAGTCTCCAAACTAGGGAATGGAAAATGGTTTGGGTTTTCAGAATGGTATATAAATCTCTTGAGCTATACTGGTGTCTACTGTACATGTACATTGTATATCTAGGATTCCAGATGCACTACCAATCAGTCATAATGCAATGATGAGTCGCTATATATATGTGCTTTACCCCAGGTGTGTCAGTACATCAGCCCAGACTTTCTGGACTACAGCTACCACGAGTACGGGCGCAGGGTCAACTACATGCTCATCTACAACCACGGGGACTATGATCTCGCAGACATGTTCTACTGATGAGCACCTCACCACAGCCATACTGCACTGATGCACACAATCTTAAAAGTAAATGCAGTTCATAATAATCAGAAATGTAACTTGAAAAAAAAAGAAAGACATAACTCTATGGTCATAATGAACATTGTTTATGAGGTGGACACAGCATGAGAAGTGCTGAGGGTTCAAGCAATAGTCCTCATGTGTCTCCAAAGTCACACTGTCTTTGATTCTTATGATACATTGTACTTTTAGCTCAGGTGTTTGAGAGACTACGACCTCGCAGACATGTTCTACTGAACACGTCACCAAAGCCATACTCCACTGTCAGGGCTAGAAATACTTTTTTCCTGCATACATGTACATTTATGTACCTGCATTGGTGCAGGTAATGTTGAAACTTACCTGCACCAGATAAATTTACCTGCACCACTCAGAATTTAGGAAGTACGGATCACAATAAAAAATAACAGTTCGGAAACCATTACATTGCCATAATTATTTTTTGTTACACTTCGTAGGTGGTGACAGTCAATGCAGCCCATGATGAAAATCCACATACTTAGACATTATATAATTATATATATAATATAATATAATATATATAATATAGTGTGTGTGTGTGTGTGTGCGTGCGTGCATGCATGTGTGTGTGTGTGTATATATTATATATATAAATCCTGTACATGCGCTAGTGCAGGTTAGGTGCAGGTAGACATCAGACATACCTGCAGTGGTATTTTGAGGCCTGACTGCTGTACACAAATCTATACAGTGAAAACAACTCATCATAATCACAAGAGTAAATTGAAAAAAAAGAATGACATGACTCTATGGACATAATGAACATAAATTTCATAGGAGGTATCCATGAATAAATGTTTACTTTTTGAGCTGGACACAGCGGAGTATTGCTGAGGGCACAAGCAATAGTCTTTATTCTGCTATGACTGATCATGAGTAGTAGCATTGCCATAGGACACTGTTTTGTTAGTATGTTGCACTGTGTGTTTGTGTCACTGTTCAGCTACATATATCCTGGACACTGACACCTCAGCTTTAGGGAACCGGGGCTTCAGCACACTGTTCAGCTGGTTCACACTGACAAGCACCTCCCCTTCATCAGGAGAGGCGGGCCAAAACACATTGTCAGCTCTTACTCTGTGGTGGGGTCTGCTCACAGAGGCTACTTCCTTACATGTAGGTCTGCTGTCTGAGGTGTTAGGTACATTCTGGTCATCTGTAGGTTCTACCTTCTTATCTACACGTCTAGTGGTACTACCAGCGTTACTTGTACAAGAGCTCCTCAGTTTCATGGTATGGGAGGATGGTCTGCTCCCATTCTTTTGGTCTTTGAGTTTACTGGAGTTGCCTTTGTTAGCCAAGCAATTGGCATCTTTGCCATCATCACCCAATGCTGTTTGCCACGACTGTTGATTGGCTGTGCGCCACGAGACACAGCCGTGAGGGACAGGGATAGATTCTGTGTTGTCGTCAGTGTGGGACTGATGGCGGTGGTGGGTTGGGACGCCCCAGCTCAGCTTCCTTAGCTGACTACAGGATCCCAGAGACTGGATGATACGCAAGCAGTTACCGTTCACCTCCCCCATCTGTTCAGAAGAGAAAAGTCATCCTTGAGATTTGATGGCTTTTGGCCCCCTCCAAGCAACATTAACAGCAGTTCACACATCATATTAGCATTTCTGACACGAAATGTACATCACTGTAGCAAATGACTGCACTACTGGACATCACATGCTTCAGAATCCATTGAAATGATGCAAATAAGGCCATGTTGATTTGATTATATGGATGACATCCGCGCGCGCATGAATTTTCGGCCGTTTCCCCCCCCAAAAAAAGTTTTCAACCATACTGTAAATCGTGCAAAACAGTTGCTAAATGAGCAAAAATATACCATAAGTTGCAAGGAAAACATTTAGAAACGATACCAATGTCGTAGAATGCCAAAATCAAAGGAAAAAAGACAAAAATGTAAAGAAATGAATTCGCCATAACATATTCTGTGCCATTTGTTCAACCTTCAGGACCACGTAGATTTCATAGTGAAGGCAACTTTTTTTTTGCAAAACTTTTTTTTATTCGCACGCTCGCATCAGTTTTGGGGTTCCCAGAGGATGTCATCCATATAATCAAATCAACATGGCCTAATAAACATCTTAAGTCCTGGAAATATATATGACTGACTGAAATGTCACATTCTCGTCAAGAAAAATGCAGCAGCATGAGCATTGCATATACATGTACATGACATTGTAGCCTGAATGTCGGACCCATAGCCTGGTAGGTCCAGCATTAGCCAGGGTACCAAACTGTGGATCAGGGTGTAACTGTAACTTACATTGTAGGTGTCTTTAGTATAATTTTCTTGGGGCATCTTGGCCCTGGAGCTGAGGAACTGGCCCGTATAGGCCCTGGAAACAGGTTTAAATTACAGTGACCAAACAAAACATAACAATTATGCAAACCACACTTACGTCATCCTCCATGTGAGGGACCAGAACGACCGTGTGCAGGTGAGGCATGCTGGGAAGAATGATTGACAGGTCTACAGGCAAGATGAAGATCACCAGCTCCAGGACCTTCAGCCTACGGGATCACAAAACACTTAGTCTTTTTTTATTTTATTATGTTTACCGAAGGCAAACATTGTTTTTGCTCTGTTTCTTCTTCTTCTTCCGTTCCAAACACTGACCTCTGACCTGGCCAAAGACCTGATTTGTTGACGTCTCTCACCATGGTAACTGGTGTTGGGTTAAATAATGTTTGCAATTTTATAGTAGGAGGGATTTATACCCCTGTCTGACCATATATATGAAGGTGTATGAGTAAGAATTAACAGAGCAGACCATATGCGAAGGTAAACATCATGCCTTTGCTTCGCAAATGTTACCTTAAAGTTTCTAGTTCACAAATTAGATTTGTGAGCATTGGACAGAAAGCACGCTTATAAGGATCCTTTGCTGATTAAACAAAAAACACAAATACAGGTTGGGGTAATGTGATAAATCAAATCTTCCAGACAGTGAAATGGAATTGAACACAAAATATCAAGGATACAACAATTCGTAGAGTATGGGAGGGAGAGGCTACGGGTAAGGAGTAAAGTGAATAATGTGGTGTTATTTGAGTTGAGTGGATCAAAGGAGAGATGTTCATCTCTAAAATTTAACTGCAATGGATTCTTTGGACCTGAAACTAGCCATTTTGAGTGGTCAACGTATTGAAAACAGTGCTGACCTTGTCAGGTTCACGAGTGCTGCAGAGATGTCAGGACTGGCACCACCGTTTTCCAGATAGAGATACTCCAGACCTGTCAGCTCACCTAGATTCTTGTACACCTGAAAAAAAAAAACAGCAGAAGAGACTGAGTATTAGACCTGATGGTGGGAAAGCAAATACTCAAAGCTATCCACAATACATTCATACATGTATGCCAAAAAACAGCAACTGGATATGATTTCGGAAAGGGTCAGACATTTCAGGGACACTACATATTAGTTACATAGTATTATTACACATTGTCAGTGACACTGGAGAATTGTTCAGTTGCTTGAGGAACTGTTTTTTTGGCATATCTTGATGACTAACATTCATTTTATGACGATTTACCACATTTGTGGAAGGATTGACATAACAGGTGACTACATGTATCACCTCTTCAAAGATGTCAACCCCGAGACCAGACTGTAAGGCTTGAACCACTCACACCGGGAATGTCCCCTACTCTTTTCGATAAGTGCGGTGGGTTCTTTAACGTGTGTGGGGTGTGGCTCTCCCAAACACGCGACCTCCATTTAACGTCCTATCCAAGGGACGTCCCTAGCCGAAGCTAGGTACTCATTTACACCTGAGTGAAGTGAGGAAAGTCGTGTAAAGAGCCTTTCCCAAGGGCACAAAATCGGTCACATGGGCAGGGTTCGAACTCACGACCTCTCGGGTGTGAGCCGAACGCGCTACCGACTGCACCACACGACCCCACATAGCCACCCACATTCACCCACACATTCATACATGTATTTGTATTGTTCATTTGTAATTTTTATGTTCAATCATCTTCAATGAGCAGTGTGAAGATTAAAGAGCCATTAAAACCCAGGGTGCACGTAACTTTACCTCCAAGTCCCAGTGCGTGCAGTTCCCCAGCCGTAAGGTGTGGAGATGAACCAGGGACGGCAGAAAGTCAAACTTTTTGGCTGGAACATCCTGCAGTGTCGTCAGGGACTGCAAAATAAAGGTCGCCCTATCAGAACATTTTCTCGTATGTATACAGTACCGTCATTAAACTCACAGCACTTGTTAGATGTAGTTGCCTTTCTGTAATTATGTTAAACCAAGTTATAAGGTTAATGCAAACTAGTCCTGTGTAAATAGACACACAGACTGAAGAGTTTTGCATCCCTGGCAGGCCCCAGTGTTGTTCCCTTGGTCGTGACACTATTTCCCCATTCCATTGAGTACCTAGCTTTGTTCAGGGGTGTCATCCAGGATAGGTTGTAAAGATGAAAGTCCTGGTATTAAAGGAGAGTAACACATTGAGCACATTCAAGATTCCACAATAATCAACTTATTCTTTCCCAGTGTGAGTGTTTCAAATATCCTTACAGATTGATAGTCACCTACACCTGTTATGTCAATCATTCCACAATACATGTATGTGGTAAAATTTAATAATCCAAATCTGTGTCTGTATAGCCGGCATAACCGCCCTTTGGTGTAACACACCAGCTTCTGTATCTGTATAGCTGGTATAACCACCCTTCGGTGTAACACACCAGCCTCTGTATCTGTATAGCCGGTATAACTACCCTTCAGTGTAACACACCAGCTTTTGTATCTGTATAGCTGGTATAACCAACCTTGGGCGTAACACACCAGCTTCAGTATGTATAGCCGGTATAACCGCCCTTTGGTGTAACACACCAGGTTCTGTGTCTGTGTAGCCGGTATAACCACCCTTGGGCGTAACACACCAGCTTCAGTACCTGCATAGCCGGTATAACCACCCTTTGGTGTAACACACCAGCTTCTGTATCTGTATAGCCGGTATAACTGCCCTTCGGTGTAACACGCCAGCTTCTGTATCTGTATAGCCAGTATAACCACCCTACGGTGTAACACACCAGGTTCTAAATGAAAGACATTGCTGCAGTGGCCGTACCAGTACACGCAGGCTGGTGAGTTCGGAGAGTTTACTCAGGCCCCTGCTGAAGGAGAACGACGGCAGCCTGATGCCGCCGACAGCCTTCAGCTGCAGATTCTGCAGATTCTTCATGCTGCAGAACTTCCCAAAGTCCAGCAGGGCAGGCGTCTCACTGAAAAAAAAAACAGTCAGTGAAAATCTGGTAAATTCTTAAAACCATCCATATCCTGGTAACGGCCTTAAGAGGGTAGGGTGTTTGCTTTGCATTTGGTAGGTCTTGAGTTTGATCCCAGGCCAAGTTTTCATACCAAGATATACCATGCTTTCTCTGCTGCTTAGCACTCAGCACTTGGGACAGGGTATGGGAGTTAAACATACACCACTAGCAGTGGACTAGCTGCTGTAGTGATGGCACAACTGTTCCAGGCCCCTTTCTCCCCAAATACAACACAGACCTTTCCCCACCTATCCTTACACTTAGAAAGACGTCTCTGTTGTAAAGCAGTGTCTGTACCGTGTGCTGCTAATGTTGGTGATGCCGATTCAAACAATTCTTGCACGGCAGGCCCAAAAAGTAGCCGACAGGATGTTTTCAGTGAACCCAAAGAGGCAATGTAAGCCGTAATGTGATTGGCTTACAGCTTCCCAGCAACCTTTGACCTTAGCTTTCCACTACCGAAAGCTATGCCTCTGATTGGCTGAAGCTCGTCAGCCTGTAGAAGTGGTTTTGGTCGGGTGGTTTGGCAGGGGTGCTGCCGTACTAGTAAGGAAGCAACGCTGCCTCAGGAGGATGTGTGGCCCAAGGGCTACAGAAATGGAGATGGGCATCACCCTATGCACCATATCTACATGTTACCGGTAATAGGAAGGAATAAAAAATACTAACCAAGATCACCAAACACAACACAAGACCATTGTATCTGCCATTCTCGCCACTCACCGAATATTTATAGTCCAGGGAGGCCATTTATCCAAGGAACAGACAACCCTCTCCACAACCAGAGTCTCCAGATGTGGCAGGCATTTGGTCACCTCCTCCAGTTGGTTAGCAGGCAAGTGTCCCCATAAAAAGTGCAGCTGTCTGAGGGACTTGATGTGTGACAGGGCAGGCAGGACGACAATCTTCCAGTACGTCAGGTTGTCGACATAATTATTTATATTGGTGATGTCCTGAAAAAGTACAAAAATTTCCTTATTCAGCACAAGGAAATACTGCAGCTGGATAAATTTTTGAAAACTATCAGATATTTCAAGTAGCGTCCACTGCTTTTCGTCAGTGACTAACAGAATCTGTAGTTGAACAGGTACTTATCCAAAAACTATGCATTGAATTGATATGTAAATGTGGTATCTTACTTAGTACAGTGTATAGTACGTGTGGTATATGCTACATACAAAAGGTCTGAGAGTTTTCAAATTTTTTAATCTATCCAGTTGCTTGAGTAACAATTCCTTGTGTATCTCATTACTTGGATGTCTAAGCTTCATTGACAACAGGCACTTAACCATTGATAACATGATATGTGTAAACTTTCTTTGAAAGGTTCACTAAGAAGGGATGGGGGCTGAAGGTCTGCTGGGCAAATATTAAACATTCAAAAGAGTGGCCCAAAAAGGCCATGAGCTTTTTTTTTCCTGTAAAAAGAGTTGTTAAAGACATGGAATGAAAATTATTAAAGTCCATGGAGGTATGAAACAGGTGCTGCCAAATAATATTGGGCAAATCAGCCAATGTAACAACAATATGAAAGGTGTTTACCAGTCTTCTAGTGCCAAATATGTTGAACATCTGCACTGCTCTCTGCCAGCTGGTCCTGGAGATTATGGTGGACCTCAGGGAAACATGTGTCCACTGGAGGGACAGAGACAGAAATATTACATGGACCATTCATCGGATCACTTACAGCCTGTAACAGGCTCCTCGTCCGTTGCTGGAAAAATAGTTGAAACTTTCCAAATACAAATTTAGAATGAATGGCAATGCTAGAAGAGTTAGCAGGTAGCGAATGTTGACTCTCTTAAGCCTGCTGAGTAACTCCTCTGACGGCTATTCAGTCTATTTGGCCAATTTCCGCTAATTTTTTTAGCAACCTGAGGAGCCTGGTAGAGGCTACCATTTATCCTCTAATACTAGTAGTCTAAAGTCTACTATAGCTAGTAGCATGGAGGTACAAGTACCACACATTTCAGCTTCTATATTGATCCTATACATAGTCATGTATGTACAAAAGTACTGGATAAAAAATTATTATAGTTCATAGACTGAGGTATTGTCAATTGTGATATATATATATATATACTCAGTCATAGGTGCATACTAGTAGCTTACTTGCAAGCATGCAGAGGAATGTGACCAAAAGAGAGAGAGTGGAACCTGAGGAATTTTTTTTGAACAAGTCAGGTGGAGAAAACATGAGGGCACTCGTATAAGTTGAAGGTCCCACTGGCAAAGGCCACAGTAAGGAGGCACTCCTTTGCCATAAGAGCAGTGCAGTTATGGAATTCCCTACCCAGTTCTGTGGTTGACGCCGAGAGCGTCAACTGAGCTTTAAGTCTAGGCTGGATAAGCACTGGAGCGGGAGAATACACATAGAATGAGAGGAGGGTGTGCACCACAGGCAGAAATGCCTTTAACACCGTTGGATTCTTAAGGTATTTCTCAAGGTATGTTGGAAACTGAGGAGTAAAAGTTTCAGCAGTAAACTACAATCATTGTTGCCATGATAATTTAGAGGTCTCACCAGATGTTTTGTATGTGCTAACTCATTGAATATCTTGCATGTCCTGCTAACACTGTAAATGCAGAAAAGGGAGAGAGAATAATTAAGTAACGGGGTAAAAAAAAATAGTTGTAAATCATGTCATTTATACATAGTGATAACATTGACTTTAGTCTCTCTTGTGGGATGAGGAAGTCAATCTTTGGTGTGTACTTTCTGTACAAAAATGGTGTGTCATGCCCAGTAAAGGTTTAGTCTGGGTGCCATCCCCAGTAGTATATTCGCCAGCTCTATAACTGGGTTTGGACTTGAATACATATGTAGCGTCTGGAGTCTAAATATTCGTTCAGATTTTGAATGAGCGCGCTGATTGGTCCTACTCGTCTAAGCCCTTTTTGGGGTATGTACATATTAGGTAAGGGCCGTTCGGACGTCCGAACGGCAACGTTAGCGTCCGTTCGAACGTCCAAACGCCTTATCATCAACATGTCCGACGGCGAACCGAACGCTAAAGCGCACATGATATAGCCGTAGTCAGTCTTTCCGCGATAAATCATCAACATGGCTGACGCACAAGCCGCTCAGCTCACGGAGGTTGATGTTGACCTCGCAATCACGTCCGTTTTGGACGATTTAGACGGAATATTGTCGCTCAAAAATGAGCAAAAAGATGCATTGAATAATTTCGTTCGTGATGATCTAGTATTTTACTTCATGAGGTCCCTGAGACACAGGAAGTTGAAGATGTGCAGGAGGTTGTCTTCTCCCAGGATACCAAGGCAAACGCAGGCAGACAGTTCCTTCTGGAGATCAAAAAATAAATGTGATTATAAAACAAAACATTGGACCCTCCACACAAACCCAATATGACTGTTGGACCATCGTTTGAAGAAGAGATGAGAGTGATCCAAACTAGTAGACAGACTTCCTACGTGACAATGGACTTGATTCTATTCTTACATGAAACTCTCAGTTACACTCATGTATTTATCATTTACTACCAATTGATTTCATTTAATGTTATATCAAATCCATGCTGAATTATCTTTAGAACACAAGAATTCAGATATTAAGAAATTTAACGTTACTAGTAACGTTATTCTGAAATGGCATATCTTTCCAAAGCATGGCAACCAAATCATATTTATCATAACATTATTATTGTTTTACTTTACAACATTGTAAAAAAAAGTGTTATAAGATCAAATCCATGCTGAGTCATCTTTAGAATGCTAGAATTCAATTAAAGATATTACTACTATTCCAAAATGACATGTCTTTCCAAAGTATGGCAACCAAATCATATAATAACATTTTTGTTTAGAAGTGAGGCCATGTTGATTTGTTTATATGGATGACATCCTCCGGGAACCCCAAAACTGATGCGCGCGTGCGAATAAAAAAATGCTTTGCAAAAAAAAAAGTTGTTTTCATTATGAAATCTACGTGGTTTTGAAGGTTTAACAAATGGCACAGAATATGGTTTTGTGAATAATCTAGTCTTTAAGTTCATTTCTTTACAATTTCGTCTTTTTTCATTTGATTTTGGCATTCTACGACATTGGTATAGTTTTTATTTTTTGTAACTTACGGCATATTTTTGCTCATTTTGCAACCGTTTTGTACGATTTATGCGGATGTCATCCATATAATCAAATCAACATGGCCTGATATACAACTTCAGGGATCTCCCCAGAAATTTAGGACAGAATGGAGGAGGGTGCGAAATATCGGTAAATTTGACCAAAGAACCCTGGAAAAGGGTGTAAAAACACTAGTTTTGAAAATTAACAGGGTGGAGCTGAGATAAGGACTGGGTGGAGGAGCTCCACTGCTCCATTGTTTAGGGAGGTCCCTGAACTTCATATCAGGATCAGATTCAGGAGAGTAAATACCATAACACAAATTTTGTTTGAAATGCACATTTAATTTACTTACTGTAATTCACTTTATATTCATGATACTAGTAGCAAAGTTTCACGGTCTGAGAAAAGTGGACATGTTCACGGAACTATATATCCATGGTGGTGACAAGCACAGGAAAAGGAAAACCCAGGAATTATTTGTTAACTGTAATGATAAGTTCACGGTACAGAAGTGACAGTGAGAACAGTGAACACAAAAGTTAAAAAATCAGGGATTACAGTATCTGCCAATCGTTGGAAATTATCCCTCTTACCTCTCTGGCGGCCTGTCTGGTCACACATGCGTTGGTTGGGCGAACTTTACCGACTTTGTCACATAATTCACCGCCGCAAACACCACACCTCCCCGAGATACGCTTTCGTTGCATGCAACGGACAACACTGCCTTTTACATTGGGCATGGTGGATCCGACCTGGGCGCTTTTTCAATGCTGTGGTGATAGTGCCATATATCCTGTAATGTGATATAACGTTATAACATTATACATACTATGATAGAACGTTACGATTAGTATAGTAACGTTATATACGTTATAACTTAGAACTTCATGTAAAAAATGGTAGTATAATTTAGTAAGGTTTTTTAAATAGCCACGGCGACTGTTGCAGGGCTTCCCTTGCTTGTTCTAGTTCAGTAGTTGCAGTCTTTTACATTAAGCCCTAACGTGTTAGGGCTATGTAAAAGATAGCCGTGGACGACTCTAGTATAGTAGTAATCACTAATGCTTTTTGCATGATAATGCTTCTCTTGCTTGCAGTTTTACATAGCCCTACGTATACGTAACATGTAAAAGACTGCAAGCAAGAGAAGCCCTGCAACAGTCGCCGCGGCTGAAAGCCATATTATAACTCTATAAGCCATATAACGCGGCTAAAAGCCATATAACTGTCGCAGTGCTTTTCTTCCTTGCAGTCTTTTACATGTTAATAGGGCTATGTAAAAGACTGCAAGCAAGAGAAGCCCTGCAACAGTCGCCGCGGCTATGCCACCGTATGATCTGCAGCTTGGAGCTTACTCAAACCTACTCAACCTACCAATCCCGTGTTGAATTCTGACAACCTCCAAGCTATGATGATGAAAAAGTCAGCCCAGGCTTTGTGTCACAAAGAGAATTTTGAACCGAAATGGTGTCGAAATTTCCCCGGTGGAGGATGGATGCGTCTTCGCTCAAAAACCGCGCCACAGCTGGCTCAGAAGTCCTAGCTTCCGGTCTATGACAGCAGCTATACATAAATTCGTTTAGAATACATAATATAACGTCTCATGAAATGTCCAAAAAGAAGTTTGAAAGAGTCAACATTTTTAAATTTTTAATTTAATCCATTTATGGAGTTTTTAAGTGCAATTTATTTGCAGCTTTTAGATTTCTTTTCCATAAATCATTTATGTTCTGATGCGATCTTCCTATTATGAGGTCAAAAGTCACCCACAAACTCTTACGAACCGAATGTGATCCTGTGATTTTTGACGCTCTGTTTCCCACTTTCCTGGTGGGTTGTGTGAGTTTGACCATGTTTAGAGCAACAAGCTGGTCTTTAAGCGTATACAGAAGTTTGAAACAGTTGATATAGGCCTTACATATCGGCCTGGTGGAGCATAAAGCTGCTGAGTTGGGGAGGGGGGCGTGTTATGAAATAATTTTTGGCAAGGACTAGTTGGAGTCGATGAAATCACGTTGTTATCTCCTTGACCGGACGACTCAATGCTAACCGATTGCGGTAAGCCATCTCACATTGTATTTCAGAATTTCGTTACAGTTTACGATTATTTTTGTTTAGTGCTATTTTTTAGTAGGTCTCAGTAGGTTTTAGTATTACTTAGTGTTGGTTACCACATGTGTATTCAAATTTGATAAATTCAAATTCAAAATAGATAACTTGTACTCAACTCACTTTATTCAAACCTTTTGAACAGGACCTAGGAAAGTGGATGCCAAACAACCGGTCCCGTCTATTAACTACGATAATTCTATAATCTGAGTGTAAAATAACTAACGTTACATGTTTGTAATGCAATTGTACAATGTATGATAACCATTCGGAACAATACGACTAAGGGGGCCCACGACCCACATGCCCTTTTCTGTAGAGCTTAATTGGGCGTTTTAATTCTACATAAAGCATAGACGGACCGCTCTAATTCAAAATAGAGTGTAATTGGCACATTTTGCTTAGTTAGAGCGTATTTGCTCTAATGCGTTGCGTAATGCGTTTACGTAATGCGTTGTAGCTACTTGGAATTTAACGTAACGTAATACGTTGCTACTGTAGCGTAATACGTTACTCGTATTCGGCTCTCAAAATTTAGCGTAGAGCGTTGTCAGGACCCCCCCATGCAGGCCCCCACTAAGAACTAACTCACTTGTACACTGACTTTTCTGTCTGTCTTTCTGTCTTTCTGTAGACCATGTGGCTGTGTGTCAGCAGATGCCCATTGCTAGTACAGCTCCACCTCAGTAGGCAGCAGGTGGCATACCGCAGTTTTCTCGTCGCCTCCCAACACCTCCAGGGAAACCGGCTCCACATTCGCAGCCTCAACTGCCATGTCTGGAACTCCGGTGTGAGATGGTGGTGTTCCACAGCCTGGAGTGCTGAAATCACGTCCAGAAACGTTTTACTGTGTTCGGTTGGACAGCGTAAACACTTGAGACAGCACAGACTTCCAGCGAGAACGCTTGTGTCATCCGGACAGCAGCTGCCTTCGCTGCCGTCCACCGAGGAACTGTTGAAGAAACACGGATGCCTCAGGAGGGCGTTCAAGTCCAGGATCAAGAACAAGTACATCCTAGACCAGGCACTAGCAGGTACTTTTATAGGCCAAGCTTAAACCACTGTTAATATACATGTAGGCCTTCCTGTAAAAGTTACCTGTCTGCTATTGCATTATTGGTGTTCCATTTCAGGGAATTGGCTATCATCAGCATATAATCTTGCTTGCTGTTATGCAACATTATGATACAATCTTTTGAGATTCAGTTGATATTTTCATCTACCTAACTCCGTAATCGATTTATATCTAGCTAGATTATATTTCTAAGTGCTACAATGCCTTGCACTCGAGAATGACCATTTCAGTAAAGACTTAGGCCACACCAATTTAATTTGTTGGTTCTCGGATTTTTTCAGAAAAAACCGACAGGGCGAAAAAAAAATAAAAATAAAAACAGGTCTAGGCATCCTATTATAGCCCCAAATGCTACAATATGAGCCATGAAGTCAACAAAAAAGGCTGGGTTAAAATTTAAAGTACAAATTTTGAACTTTTAATCAAACCACTGCCTTGATAGATGGAAAAAACTGTAACAACTAGGAAGAAAAGGAATTTCCTCAACTGTTGGGGGCAAAATATGAGCATTTTTGAGTTGATTCAGAACCAGAATCTTTTTTTTTTTTTTTTGCAAATCAGAAAAAAATGAAGAAGCGAATCCGAGAACCAACAAATTAAATTGGTGTGGCCTTAGTTAAGAGTGGCTCCATCTGATAGAGATTTTCCTACCTGGCAGAAGACATCTACTCTACTCTATTCTACTCTAGCATACTTTACTTTGATATTTAGGATTCACAGGTACAAATGTATCTACAGTTTACAAATAGTAAGTTTACTAAGTACATGTGAAATGTTTAGCAATGGTTCACAAGTGTCATGCCATATTTTCCCCCTCCTGTAGCTGTTGTAGTTGACCACCTGGGGGATCTGTCAGAGAACAAGCAGTGGATATTTGAGCTCAACCCAGGTAATCATATTTGTAAGGAGCATTTGTGTAAGTTCATGGTAATTATTTTGTAGCCCAGGAGAATAAGTATGGAATGTCTTAACATGTGTCATCTATATACAGTATAGGGACAAAGAAGAGAATATGTAAGAAAAGACTAGTATATGCTGATATACTGCTCTTTCTTTATTCTTTATTCAAGACAGTGGTCAGCATAGCAGCAGTACAGTCCATAACAAATTATGGACCGCTGAATTGTGCTGACCATTACATAGTAGTACATGAAAATACAACACAGGTACAAACAAAACATACAGATTCACGACAATGACAATATGTACAACACATAAAAACTGATCCTGCATTTGACTGTTATAAAGTCTGATAGTGTGATGCAGGAGTGAATTCTGCAGTCTGGAGGTTCTTGCCATGGGAACCCCGAGTCCTCCCGCGTTCCTTAAGGACCTCCCTGTGCTCATCAGCCCCTCCACGACTTGTAGAGGAGATGGTCTGATAGTATCATTTGAATGTACGTGATTGCATGTATGTATGTTTATATCATACCCGGGCCGCGATAACGTTCGATAACGGGTTCCGGACCGGGCCGTACTTTACTTTCCATAAAACGATTCGAACGCGTTTCGCCCTACCCGCTTGTGCCCCTTTCGAAAATTCGAATACAAAATCTGGACGTTGGAATTGATGTTGTTGCATTTTAGGGTTTAGTGGCACCAACTTTTGGCTCATCTTGCATTGAAAGGCGTGTTTTCTTGGGTGGGTATGACATAAATAAAATACAACACGGTGTATTCCGCATCGCCCTCGGTCCCGGTCTCGATACCTCGGGCGATACGGAATACCCCGTGTTGTATTCTATATATAAAGCACTTATTTAGTACAATATGTTTCTCCCCCCTCCAGGACCAGGTGTTGTGACAAGAGAGTTGCTGGCGGCAGGAGCCAGCAGGATTCTCATCCTGGAGAATGACAGGGTGTTTCTGCCATACAGTATGGTAGGCTATAGCAAGGATGCTCCTCTTGTGTCACATTATACGTATATAATTTGTAGTGCAGGATTTTAATCCTCTAGTAACCTGGAATTATCATGGAAGCATATAACATCATGGAGTCATAATCAGGACAATTAGCATAGATGGTGGCAAATAGATGCAGGCAAATACAGTGTAGTTTGTGTGATCTGCTTTGTTTTTGTTGTATGAAAAGATTTGCCAGCAATAGAATTATTCTATTTCTGCTGTGAAGGTACAAGTGAGGAGTACTATGAAACAATGCAAAGAATTTTAAAAGTGTACTTGTTAAATCAAGAAAGGACACCATAATGAAAGCTTAGGCCACACCAATTTAATTTGTTGGTTCTCGGATTTTGTCAGAAAAAACATGAAGCGACAGGGCAAAAAATAAAAAAATAAAAACAGGTTTAGGCATCCTATTATAGCCCCAAATGCTATGATAGGAGCCATGAAGTCAACACAAAAGGTTGTGTTAATATTTAAACAATGAATTTTGAACTTTTAATCAAACCACTGCATTGATAGATGGAAACACTGCAACAGCTAGGGAGAAAAGGACTTTGCACAACTGTTGGGGGCAAAATATGAGCATTTTTTAGTTGATTCAGAACCAGAATCTTCTTTTTTTTGTCAAATCAGAAAAAAATGAAGAGGCGAATCCGAGAACCAACAAATTAAATTGGTGTGGCCTTAAGAAGAAAAGACATGTAAAGGAATTATTTAGTTACAACACTCTAACTTTAGATATCCTTTGTGAATGAGCTATGGGTATTGAGCAGGAAGTTGTTTGTTTGTTTGTTTGTTTGTTTATTTCGATCCCCATTAGTGCTTAAAAGCACTATTCTTCCTGGGGTCAATAAAATAAAACATAGATAACAAAACTTTGTACATAATGATGATTACAAAATAATAAAGTAAGTTCAAATCAATAGAGTAAGTTCAAATCAATAGGAAAGGTCAGAGGTTGACCTTAAAAAAAAGCACAGAATAAACTGAACATAATCCAGAGTTGTACGTAATCAACAAAGGTACCAACAAAATAAACAAAGGTATAGATAACTAAATAGAACATTAATAGCTATTTCACCCTCCCCAGGCTCTAGCTAAGCATGTAGGGGAGAGAGTACACGTGAAGTATGCAGACTTCTTCAGGATCGACCCCATGGGAGATGGGATAGTCAAACAGCCGGCCATCTCATCTGTAGAACTGTTCAACAACGTCCAACCTGCGCACTGGAGGGAGGGTAAGATTACCAAGAACCAAGTTGATAGGAGAGTAGCTGAAAGCACGTCGGCAGAACTTACTGCACCTGCGCGAAACCCGTAATGTATTGTACATAGCACTTTGGCAGAACGTCTCATATAAGGTCGTATTCGCTTATATAAGGAAAACATCTCATCTGTAGAACTGTTCAACAACGTCCAACCTGCGCACTGGAGGGAGGGTAAGATTACCAAGAACCAAGTTGATAGGAGAGTAGCTGAAAGCACGTCAGCAGAACTTACTGCACCTGTGCGAAACCTGTAATGTATTGTACATAGCGCTTTGGAACGTCTCATATAAGGTCATATTCGCGCATATAAGGAAAACATCTAGTCTGTAGTTTCCAAATGTTATGTTGGAAAAGATATCCTCTGCAACAGACAAAATTCTAATGCAACGTTGACCAAAAATCCACCGAAAAACACGAAAATACAGGCTTCTTTACAGGCGCAGTGCGTTCTGCCGACGTGCTGTAGCTGAAGCCTTTCTTACCTACATAAACATGTACCTGTTTATTTTCTGGATGTCTAAAAGATTTGGAGCTACCTTGTCACCCAGAAAGAAAAATGTACCACTTACTAACATGACTTGTACTTTCCCCCAGAATTGATAATGTCAATTTCACTGTTGAAAGTAGCCAGGAGGGTAAACTATCTTATCACTCACACTACTCAATCTGGTCTTCCTAGGTAGACTGACCCAGTGAGGCTTGTCACGTGGCTTCTTTGAAGTGTGACGTCAACACTGAGTCAAAGAAGCCACGTGACAAGCCCCACTGGGTCAGTCTACTGAGGAAGACCAGAGTGACTGGTCGAAAGCTCTAGGTGAGAGAACCTCTCTGTGTTGGATCAAAAGTTAACATTAAACAAGAATATTCTCCGTGTGTCCCTTCCAGAAGTGATAGTGCGAGTGGTAGGGATGTTGTCTCAGGAGAAGGAGAAGACCCACCTCAGACACCTGTGCTACAGGGTGCTGGAGAGATCCTCACTGTTCGAGTACGGACGCATGGAGCTCAACCTCTTCATCACGGAAAAAGTGTATAATGTGGGTACTATCTTTTGACTGTTGTCTGATATGACTGTGTCGTATAAAGATACTGGGCGCTATATTGTAGTTTCATATGCTGTTGTAAAGAGCTGTATCTGTATTAGTTAGGTCTAAATTCACCAAAGAAAAACCAGTGATATTGCCATCCACAAAGTGGCCTATTTTACATAATGATTGTACTTGTCCAAGTTGAGTAAGTTTTGTACTTTTTTTGTTTTAGCCCCACACATACACGTAATAACAGTACTGTATGTATCTTTTATGGTCTTAAAGTTCAATGGGAATTTGCCCAGTTTTAGGTATGCAATAAATGTCCCATCTTTGCCATGGGAGTCAACATTTTTTAGATAACAATGTTCTGAGCTATTGAGCTTCTATTGCCTCACAATTGTAGGATTTTTTAATGCTTCTAGGTGAGTCCAGACCACTGGCAGAATGTTTTGCTTTCTAAATGAAATACATTATGATATGTCTTCCCTTCCTCACCCGTAGATGATCACAGCCCCAGCAGGCGTGGACCTTGTTGCTTATGAGAGCACTGCTATCCTCTGTCAAGTCTGCTTTGACATCCAGCTTCTTCTTAAGGTAGGATCCCTTCCCCGTGTGAGTGGTTCAAACTTAACAGTCCTATGCCATGGCCGCACCAGCCCTGGTGTATGTATGTACAGTATATTGAGGTCACCTGAGTTACAGCACTGATTAGCATTTGCTTCAGACCCTTGTGATTCAGCCCCAACGAATGTAAGCTCCTCACACAGCCCTTACATACATAAACACATAATCATACTCTCATGAGTTGAAGCGTTAAGTTAAACGTAGTTCAGCTTCCAGCATTTTGCCCTTGATCATGAGGGTAAGGAAATCTAGTAGCTGGCCCACCAATGATAGATTTTAACAATTCATTACATTGCAGCTCAAAAAAATCTAATTTTAGCCCCTTTTATAAGACTTTTATGTAGCTTATTTGAAGTGGTGGGAGTTTTATTGGAGGATTGTGTATCCATAACTGATCAGCCAATTCAAAAGATATTTTGTTGACAGTATTGTTGTCCAACTTACATGTACTGTTTCATTTCCCAATCAGGAACCCAATTCTAGATTTTTGCCAGTGCAAGTCAAGGGACAGACAAATTATAAACACAAGGCTAATGCAGACAGGGTAAGTTGTATCTCTTACATGTAGCACCTGCAATATACAAATGTAATATACACAAGACTGAAAATTGTGTCTTATACATAATGCTTCTTGAAAGAGATGCATCTTGAAAGAGAAAAAAAATGTACAAGCATCTACGCTTCATTTTGTGTTTCATTTTTCTTGCACAGTAAAATTTAATGATGATGGTTAATATTTTCTTTTATTCGTGCATACTTTTTTGACCAATTGATGACTAGTC